AATTGTTGAAGCTCCTGGTCCAGACTCTGCAAAGGATTATTATGAGTGGAACACAGACTCTAAGGAGTACTCTGCTTCGGGAATTTGGGATTTGATGAGACGAAGAGATGAGGAGAAGTGTTGGGCTGATCTGGTATAAAGGAGCRATTCCCAAACACTCGTTCACCATGTGGATTGCAAACTACACTACGCTCCCCACCAGATCAAGATTGGCTTCGTGGGGATTAAAAATTCAAAAGGAATGTTGCTTCTGTTCAAAGGAAGACGAGACGCGGGATCATACTTTCATGTGATTATAGCTTGGAGATCTGGCGCCTAATCCTCATAAGGTTAAACCCTTTTCTCCACATGTTCAGGACATGGTCGGAGCTGTTGTCTTGAATCCGAATCAGCTCACCTAAGGCGCTTTCTCTTCTCCGAAAACTAGTTGCTCAAGCAGTTGTATTCCACTTATGGAAGTAGAGGAACAATGTTCTTCACAACAACACTTCCATTCCGGGTCAAATCATCTTCAACCGTGAGATAAATAACACTATTTCTGCTCGGAGACACAAGAAAGAATATCACAATCTAATGTCTCTTTGGATTAGATAATAACAAGGGTGTACACAACTTTATATTGTACTTCCTTGTTTTTTATTTCGTTTTTTTTTTGCAAAGTAGTAGATTATAGATTACGCTTTTTGTATAATCTAACTTTCATTATTCAATAATATTTACATATTATCAAAAAAAACAAAAACAAAATATGAATTCGAAGCTATAATACACTTTCATTAAATTTATCTACACTTCCCATGATAATGTTATTATTTCACTAGATGGAACCAGCACCGTACGTCTATATAGGCTAAGCATAAGTTTAGGATCTTTGTTACAAAGCAATGTATTTGATTTTGAAGAACATGTGATATGAAAAAGATCACCAAGTTAGGTTATTTATAACTTGTTTGGGAAAATGTACAAACCATACAATCATGATTCAGCAATGCCAAGATTTATCAGAACCGAAAAGATTATTGTATCAAACAACAAAGAGACTTGCAGAGCAATATAGAAACTATGGTTTTCTGGTTTCTGGTCCATTATAGCAAAAAGTAGAGAGATCAAATAAGTATAAAACTAAAGAAGAAAATTGTAAACTAAACATCAGATCAATTACATTATAAAAAAACAACATATATACCATTTTACATACCATGATTTTCTACTTCTCCGACCTGCGATTTAGGGCTACGAGAAATGCAATTGTTTTCCAGTACTCTGCTACTTATTCCTTCCAACAATTTCTTCATTTTAAATTTTCAATATCATCGATATTAATAACTGTAATTACTAAAATACCCTTATATAAACACTAAACAAAACTATTTGCAAGTGAATCCTGAAACGATTTTTATACCAAAACTCTCATAATCAGATATATGTTTTATTGTTCGAGAAGTGAGATTCTTCGTACCAAGAGAAACATTTCTAGAACAACCTAATCAAGAACACAACCAGAAGCAGAGAGAGAGAGCATATACACACCCACATGATTCTTGATCATACATCAAAACATCTTGCTGTATACAAGAGAGGAGGTGGCAAAGACGCACACACGTTTGTTTATTGTTGCAGCATGCCGGATAGTGATTTAGACTCGGGGATAGCGAGAGCTGCCTTTCTTCTTCAAGAACTCGGGAATCTCCACTGAACCGCCTTCTCTAAAAGAGGAAGATGGTCTTCTTGTAGCTCCAATTGAGGCAGTTTCTGCTTGTGCCATCTGAACCGTTCGTCCTTCTCCTTCTTCTTGTCGTTTGAAACCCGTAGCTATTAGGGTTATGCTTACCTTGTAATAAAACAAAAAAGACATTATAGTTTTCAACAAGCCAAACATCAAT